TTAATCAAGGAATTCGGAAATGCCACTTATACGGATTATTTTGGTTAAACAGGTTTCCTGAGATGTCAGTGCCTATCTTAGTTTTTGTAACTATTCTCATTTTAAGTTAATTTATATGAAAACCTTGGTCCTTATGTAGTATTTTGGCTTCCAGCTCAAAAAGCCGGTAGTATAACCATCTCATCTCTCCAAAGTACTATGAGAAATTAAAATTATAGAGTCATTGTAAAAGATTAAGTCAAATGAGTCTTGACCAAAACTCTAGGTCAATTTTCTTGATCATGTGTGCAGACGAACCTCCAAAATGCTAGTAAAGCGAAATTGAGAAAAAAATAGCGAATAAAATGAATAAATCGTAAGTAATTAGATTCTAACTGGTATTGGGCAGATTGGTAAAAATTAATGTAATGTAAGGTATTATGCAATGTATAAATATTAATGTATTAATAGTAATATCAATTAGGACTTAAAAACAAAGTGCATTGATTCATTCTCTCCAAAAAATTCAACAAGTAATTAACAACGCAGTCAAAAATGACCAGCTAAATTTTTCCTTGAAATTTTCTTTCATAGCGTTCGCAATAGCAAGAAATAATAGTTTAATGATGTTGAAAATATATTTTTTTTCTGGTTTGACAGACACGTCATAGTATTTATTCTTATATTCTCAGTCTGTTTTTCGTTTGTAATGGCGATGAGCCCAAGAAATTATTCAATAATTAGAAATTATTCATTTATTATTAACAATGCATATAGTAAAGCTAAAAATCGTTAATGTTAGACATTTCCATTGCCTATGTAAAACCGTTTTTATCCTCTGAGTATTTTCTTTTTCTTCTCATAATTAGGTAATTTACTATCAATTGATTCGGCCTTTATATGATAAGAATTACATGTTTTTAAATCTCCCCAAGTTAACACAATTTTTTATTTTTTATGAATTATTTGTAAAAGCCTAGGGGGTCTCCTTGTCTATTGATACTCCCAGAGAAATGTATTAGATAAACGAATTTCAAAAAGTAGGTAATGAGGAATGTGCGAAATGTATCTGGTAGTTCTACCAGACGTAAAAAAAGGGAGTAAATCACCACTTTATTATCTAAAATTAGCCCAAATGGCCATGGTCTGACTACTACAGGGAAATGCCGGGAAACACCATGGATTTGAGCCAGATGACGAATGCAGCTCGCAAAAAATTCAAGATGGATCCTTTCCGGCAAGTGACACTATGTTCATGACACTCCATAGTGCAAACGACGCGCGCCTCACCGTTCATTGTGTGATCACGTGACTTACGTATGCCAACATTTCAGAGGAAACCAGAGACCGGACCACGTATGATTTACGCTTACATGAAGGACTCAACTTCAGCCACTCTTCATCGCCTTAGGATCTGCAGCGGACACTTAAGGAGCAAGGCAAATCCGTCGTGGTCTCCTTCGCTAATTGGAGTCATCACAGTCAAGCTATCGGGTTATGGTCGTAGACAATACGCCCGACTTCTCCAAAACCTAGCTGAAGTTCCCGCAGTATCCCAATTGAGAAGATGCCTGAAAGGAAGAGGCCTGAAGAGGTCACACACTTTCTCACCTGAAGGGCTTATCATACACATTCATGAAGTATCTCGGTAGCCAAGACTGAAACCAAGCTGCTGACGAATGCCTTCACTTGGAAACTTGCCTGCACTCTGCGCAAAGCATCTACCAAGACACGGCGACACTTCAAGTGGATACCATACGCCAGAGCGCCGCCATTTCAGCGCCCAGGTTCATCCTTGAGACTTCTCTACGCAGGGGGCCCGGCGAGCCCCTAAATTGCGCATATGCGGATTGTCAGAGTATCAGACTGGCATTTAACTGGAGTGGTTGGATTGTGACCATTGGGGTTAATTATGAAAACAAGCTTTTAAGTGGTATCTTTGTTCAAATTAATCATACATTTGTTCCAGTACTCAAGATAATCGTATATAAAATTAAGTTAGATGTAGGTAGGTAATAGAAAATAAGTTACAAGCAACAGTTTTAAATCAGTCTATTTTTCTCTAATAATTTTGATCAGAAATATTTGTTCACACCACGCGAAATCCATTTTAGACACACGGATCTGACGGCGAAGTCAAGTTCACCTCAAAAAAAAAAAAAAATAGTTGTCCGCTCGAATCATCAAAGGGATCAACTTTCTTGAGTCGCGTTACGCATCACGAGCCTATACGAACGACGCACCGCGCTGTACCGCCACCAAACAGTTTGTGCTGACTCCTCAGTTCTAACCTGCACCAGGATTGTGCCCACTTGTCTGGCTCTCGCAAACCACCTAGATCGTCAAACTTGAGTGATGCCCCCACAAAAGGGCGGGGTCGCCCTTTATTGTGTGTGAGGGGGAATGAAACGAAAATTTAGCGACAGCGCCATGTTTTGGAGGCGTGCAGTGAGTTTGGAGTCCCTCTTGGGGGATTTTAAATTTGTCTGCTAACTTCAATAGATGGCTAGTATCTTGACAAGTTGAAAGGCTGGTTTGCGATAGCCAGGAGTTCGTGAAGTCCTGGGCTTCTCTCATCGGGCCCCGTTGCCGTAAACTGCAGTTTCAGCGTATGAACGACGACTGGTGCGGATGCGATCAGCGCACTACACGTGAGATAGGGTGTTTTTCGCGTTGGAGAACATCCTAAGAGTATGATGTCACGATGCAGTAGACCGCTGCGCGGTTGCCACGCCCTGCGGGAGCCAACGGGATGGTCTAAGACTCGTAATAGTTTCGGCGGCCCTCTAGAAGGTGCGTGGCAGCGGTGCGGGGACCCTGTCTGCTGGACATCGCGTAGTCATGTTTAGAGCACTGGAATTGCTGATTTCACTAGATTTTCCGCTCGAATCGTACGAAACTGAGGGTAAGACGCTCCTAAGGAAGATCTATGAAATCAGTCTTCTCTCAACGCGGTGACCACACTGCTCGCGGTAAGCAACACGCGGTACAGCCCCGTTGCCCCCCAGTTGGCCCCGAGAGTTTTCGACTAAACCCCCCCCTTCTTTCTTAATTTTAAAATTGTATTTGTTCTTTTAGTTCCGGTTTTTAGAGTGAGCGTTATGCGTAGTTATTTGTTGTTGTAATTTTCCGTAAACGTCGTAGATTTGTCCGAAATAGTTTGGCCGATCCGAGGTGTCTCCGGTGGAATTACGTTACGGTGTATGATCAGTGTTGTTTGCATGGTTCCTGTGTGTATTTTCATCATTTATCATCAACTAGTGTAATTAAAGGGAGTGGCACCCCAAAACCCGTGCACGTTTTGATTTGGATTACTTCTCCCCATCTCTCATAAAATCAGTGATCAGACGAGCATCGAAAAGATCATCTAAGTCCATGGGACAGGTTTGATAGAACATCTTATTGCATCAGAATATCCTTGATATTAGCGTGTGTTATAGCTCTACCAATTAGTCATCACTGAGGACTTGAGGCCTCATTTTCTATACCTCAAGTGGTGGAACGCCCCCTTTTGGCTAAACTTTAGGGTAGTTCTGGTCCCTAGAGTTTTAGCCGCTTCAGAGCCTCGATTATCCGCGATGATTCGGACCGCAGCTACAACGCACGGTAGATCAAGTCAATGGGAGAGGTCCGACAAAATTTGGAAACTTTAAAAGCTTAGGCAGAGTTAAGAAATTTCGTGAAAGATTATAAAAAGAAATTTCATGAGGAAATTTCAAGAAATTTCATTTAACACACAGAATTCAGGATTAAACCCTAGAAACTTATGAATCTCCTTAAGTCTCTTTAGACACACGTGGTAAACTGTGAAAGGGAACTTTAGAAATGTTCAGAAGGTTGAGTAAAACAGCAAAAACATAATTTTGAATTTTTTTTCTCAAATTTTGGTTGAGCACACAACCGTACCGGTTGAACACCAAAATAAATTTTACGGATAAAGTAAAACGTTAGCTTTCATACTTGGAACAAAACAAATTTCTTGACTATAAAGAATTCTAGTACCCCCTAATAGTTTCACCTTATTTCTTGGTACAAAAGGGAGGGAGGGATCTTAAACTATCCTTGAAACAATTTAAATGATTTTTCAGGAATTAACAGTTTCCTTCGCTAACGTATTTCTTTTTTTAAATGGGAAATATTTGATACATAAGTAGAGTACCTGTATTTTTGAACTTTGAAGTGCTAGATTTTGAGATCAGTAAGTAGGAAGGTATTTTACTTTTTCTTGAATCTGAGAGAAAATGTTTGACATTTTGTCGGTCGAAAGAAATTTCATGAAATTTCTTGTGAAATTTCACGAAATTTCATTCGATGAATTTTCTTATAGCAACTCTGAGCTTAGGACTCCGTTTATGCAAAACTTTGAGGTTCTAATAGTGCCTACATTGATTTCTTCGTGAAATTGTCTTCTAGATAAACCTCTTCTAATTTAAAGATGTGGCGAAATGAAAGTCAAAATTTTCAGTTTTAGTCAGAAATTTCATGATCGACCTATCTGATTGACTCTATCCACTGTGCGGCGTGTAATGAAAAATCGCGGATTATTCGGAACTAATGAAAATTACGGATAAATAATCTAAAAAGTTGTATTTTTGAAATGCTCAATTTAGCACTCGTCAATTATTGGTCAGAAATGTAATTATTAGTTGAGATTGAATGAACTTTACCTGGAAAAAAGTTATCTTGGCAAACATCAAACCATTAACTTTATCATAAATCTTATTGTTTTAGAAGTACTTTAATGACTCAAGAAAAAAATTCCATCTAGAGATACCGTGGATAAACCGAAGCGAGTAAAATCGAGACTCTGTAATAGTGTAAAATGAAGTCAAGGCGTATACTTATGTTTGAGAATTTAAGAGATGGACTGCTAGTATACCTATAAGAACTGAACCATTCTGGACTGAACCCTTCTGACCAAGCGGTCACTTTCAGGGTCGGATTTGACCCGAGTTAATTTTCTAGTTTTTAGGCGGTGGTGGGGCATACTCTGGCGCGGATCAAGCCAAAAATGCTCCTTGGGTAGGGTTGAAGCGTGACGCGTGATCTGAAAATCGACTCCTCACGCATTCAGCGAGAAACAAAGAATGAGGACCTCAGGAGGGCGCTTTGAAAATTTGCGTGGGTGGACAAGTTGATATTTTTCATGAAGATGCATGTTTGGACGGTAAACGCGGGCATGCCGATTCGGGATGACCATGATTTTGAAGCGAGGAAAATCTTACGTTCGTGCGAAACGGTGAAATATCCAGTGCGGTGCGTAACGTGCAAGTTCAGTTCATCAGGCCATGACTTTCAGTTTATCTGAATTGTTTATTTACATGTATAGTTCCACCGGAGAACCTTTGGATTTTTCAGGTTAGTTTTTGGTTAGACGAGTGCCCGCACTCAGATCAAAGTAAAATTTGAAACAAACCGTATTCGCTCAAACACATATTTCTACGCTGCCTCATCTATAATCGATAGTTTCGATGGATTTAAGTGGAGGAAAAACAGTGTTGCCAAATTTCAAAATCGGCTGACAGGGGGACCGGGGGGGTCACCCTAGGGTGCGTCAAAAAAAATGAAAGTCTGAAATGTTCCGCTCCCCAGGCGGCAATCGATGACGTTTGGTAAAAAAACATGTTTGCCAAAATTTGGGCCAATTTCAATCATTTTAAATGGTGCCAAAGGTCAATTTTGTGATGAAATTATGATATTTTGGTTTAGACCTCGATTTCGTACAAAAAACTCGATTTTACGCTGAAATCATGCGTTTACGAGAAAAATGTCAAAGAACTCGACTTGTAGAGGATGAAATTTTACACTAGGAGGACGTCTTTGTAACCGATAAAAATCAAATTGAACTAGAAAAACTAAACTCGGTATTTATTTTTTTGGTCCTCAGAATTTCCGAGGTCTTACTAAGTAGAGGTTTAAAAGACTCATTTTTCACGAAAATAAGTCGAAAGAGGGTATAAATGAACTGTAGGCAAGTGTTGAGGATGCAAATGTCATCAGAACTTCCTCAGTTTCAAAAAAAGTTCCAACTATTTTGCACAATCCTCCAAAAAGTGTACGACTCGAGAAGCAGGATCGTGCTATAATAGTAGGGGGAAAGTGCGGTTTGACCGGGAAAAATTGCGTAACAAACTTTCCCTATGTAATCGTCATCAGTAGGTCCCCCTGAACAACTTCCTAAAAGTTAAAAATGGCCCGACCCCGGAATATCCCTCAAAAAAGTTAAAATTGAAAATGGCGGCCGTAATAAGAGGGTCCGGGAAATCGGTATTTTAAAATGCTCATTCTGTCTCATCATGTGAGGTATCATTTCCTATGTAATTTTGGTCGTAGATTTCATAAATAAATTTCGCAAGGCCCTCCGGCTAAAGGGGGCGCTCCAAATCAAACATGGCGGCGGCCCTCCGGCCAAAGGGGGCGCTCCAAATCAAAGATGGCGGCCAAATGTGAAAGGCAGGAGGTTGCATTTTTTTAAATATTCATCGAAGGAACAAGGAAAGTGAAGTGTCTTTATTTTCATGTATTTATGGCCAAGAAACTTAAATTTGATGTTATAAATGTATTTAATAAAGGAAATTAAAGGAAACATACGACTACCGAGAGAAACGTAAGCTCAGAAGAGGCCTTGAGGGAATTCATTTATGAAATCTACGACCAAAATTACATAGGAAATGATACCTCACATGATGAGACAGAATGAGCATTTTAAAATACCGATTTCCCGGACCCTCTTATTACGGCCGCCATTTTCAATTTTAACTTTTTTGAGGGATATTCCGGGGTCGGGCCATTTTTAACTTTTAGGAAGTTGTTCAGGGGGACCTACTGATGACGATTACATAGGGAAAGTTTGTTACGCAATTTTTCCCGGTCAAACCGCACTTTCCCCCTACTATTATAGCACGATCCTGCTTCTCGAGTCGTACACTTTTTGGAGGATTGTGCAAAATAGTTGGAACTTTTTTTGAAACTGAGGAAGTTCTGATGACATTTGCATCCTCAACACTTGCCTACAGTTCATTTATACCCTCTTTCGACTTATTTTCGTGAAAAATGAGTCTTTTAAACCTCTACTTAGTAAGACCTCGGAAATTCTGAGGACCAAAAAAATAAATACCGAGTTTAGTTTTTCTAGTTCAATTTGATTTTTATCGGTTACAAAGACGTCCTCCTAGTGTAAAATTTCATCCTCTACAAGTCGAGTTCTTTGACATTTTTCTCGTAAACGCATGATTTCAGCGTAAAATCGAGTTTTTTGTACGAAATCGAGGTCTAAACCAAAATATCATAATTTCATCACAAAATTGACCTTTGGCACCATTTAAAATGATTGAAATTGGCCCAAATTTTGGCAAACATGTTTTTTTACCAAACGTCATCGATTGCCGCCTGGGGAGCGGAACATTTCAGACTTTCATTTTTTTTGACGCACCCTAGGGTCACCCGCACCCCAGCACGTACGAGATTGAGGCCTTAGGGTGGCCCAATTCTGCCGTGCTAAGGAAGAACGCCGTATGAACATTCGAGAGTTGCCAAATTTCCCTTGATAAAACATGTATTTTTGACGATATTTATGCACATTTTTATTTTAAATTTTCAAATATTTTAGAATAAATTGCGCACAAAATACTCTGACAATTTTGGGGGAAAATATTCACAATTTTCCCAGTGAATTCGGTTTTTATCGAAGGGAACTTGGCAACGTCTAAGTCACACGGCGTTCTACCCTAGCACGGCAGAATTATACACGGCAAAATTTATTTTGTGAATTTTTTTGGTCTTATCCCCTAGAACTGATCCATTTGATCAAAAAACAATCTCTGCCAAGTTCCGGCCAAATCGGATAATATTAACCCGTACCGACAAAGTCATCTTTTTTACATGGGATTTTACATCGAAAAAAAAATTGTTTTCAGTAAAATCTATTTCCCGGAAAATGTTCTGAGGTCGTACTCGGCATTAGTAGGAAAAATTGAGTAGGACAGGTGCATTCGACACCTCAAAAAAAAAATGTTTACCCCTCGTTATAGCTGTGAAACAACTGAAACATCTAGGAAACGCTTAAAAAGGTTAAAATGACGTCGATAAATCTCAAATAATTACATAGGTCTGCATCTGAGAATAAAGCCCAACATATGGTAGGTATTCACCATGTACTTTTTTACGCTGAGTCAGAAAATGCTATTCATTTTTCTCTCTTTTCCATTAGGATTTTCCGGAAAATCGAATTTCAGGTACCTAAAATAGAAGGTTTTTCAGGAAAAACTCAGTTTACGGGAAATAAACCTCAACATGTTACGGATGTTTTTTGACGATGAGTCCGAAAATGATGCAAAGCCGCTCCATAATATCGGGATTTTCTGGAAATTCAATTTTCTTGTAAAACAGAAGGGTTTTCCGGGGAAAACTCAATTTTTAGGAAATAAACCTCAAATTTATAGATACTAGGCTTATTTCAGTACAAAAATTTTTCCATTTGACCATTTTAGCGCGAAATTTTTAGAGACGATAGTTGAACAAAGACAAATCGAACGGAATGCTGGGCAAAACTGATGATCAGGCCTTCTTTAAACAATTCAAATGTGACAGGAGATTTGCAACGTCGCAAAGCGAGACACGCTCAGATACGTGTTTCAATAATTTTAATTTGCCTGAGCCAAAGGAATAAAATTGTGAACCGTGTGTTGTCTAGGGCGTTGTCTGATGTCTCCAACATGGATCCCTACATTGCTGCACTGACATTGGCCCTAGCGGACCAGGCACTTTCCCTATCACTCCCATTCAACGCAGACGCCCAACTAATCAGCACTTCTGGTGAACATGAATTCGTGCTCCCAAATTTTGAGGCCGGCGATCAGAGGGGTCCGTGCCCAGGGCTCAACGCACTGGCCAATCACAATTACCTGCCGCACAACGGCGTCGCCACTATTGGACAGTTCATAATTGCGACCGTGAGAATCTTTGGACTGGGCCCCATCATAGCTACTGTCCTCTCTGTATACGGAGCACTGTTGGATGGGGATTCTCGACAATTCAGTATCGGAGGGGAGACAGACAAGGTCAAATTGATCTTCTCTACTTCCGGAGGTCTCTCAGGCAGTCACAACAACAATTACGAAGGGGACGGCTCACCCTTCCGGGGTGACCGATATACTACAGGTAGGTATATAGTATTTTTGTACATTGTACACGGGTATATTGTATTTGTGTACATTGTACATAGGTATATTGTATTCATGTGCACGGGGTGTTCCTCGGTTAAACTGCCGGGCTGTAGATTCAAGTTCAATGGGTCACAGTAAGGCCGTTCGATCATTTCCAATACGTTGGAACGTGCTGGAATGAACTGCATTAGATAATGTTAAAAATAATACGAGGGTGGACTATTAAGTAAGTTTACCCATTTTAGATCTCAAGAACTATTTATGTTAGAAAGAAAAGCAGACCAGCGCTCAAACAGGTATATCTTCAGCTTTCTAACAAGCTATAGTTTTTAAAAGATGCACGTTGTGCGAAGTCATGACAGATTTTCCACACCCACCTCATCATGTCCAAACGTGCCCACTTCTACCACGCTGCTGTAGGGTTTCAGAGTGTAAATCCGCGAAGAGATAAAATCAATTTATTCTTCTCATACAAAAGTTAGGAAATCGATTGAAGACTTTTTTTTACCCTTTTTACCCATTCTTAAATTCAAGAAAATTTGTCGCTTGCAAACCGCGAAAATCACGATGGATTTAAAAATTCCCTTACTTGTAGCAAGTGACCTGGCTGCGCCAATGAAAACACTCAAGATAGAAGCAGTATATTATGCCTGCTTGTTAAGCGTGAATTACTGCTATATGTTGGTGAGGCTTGGAGACTTACGGCAACTTTAACGCATGAGTAGAAAAGTAAACCATGGAGCTGAATCCAAAACTATTTAAAGACTTGTTTCCAGAGGAACCTTTTGTTCAAATCTTATGTCTGATGGCTAGCCATGTTCTTAATCCCGAACCCACTCAATTCATCGAGCTGCTTTAGATTTAGTGCAAAAGTTAGTGAACTTCACAGATTTTTATGGATTCAGTTCCATGGTCTACTTTTCTACTCATGCGTTAAAGTCACCCTGAGTCTCCGGGCCTCGCCGGCATATATCAATAACTCACGCTTTACAATCAGGCATAATTCTGCTTTTGTCTTGAGTTTTTACATTGTCGTAGCTAGGTTATATTGCTAGAAGTCAGGGCATTTTTAAATCCAAAAAAATTTGTCTCTTGCAAACAGCGATAATCACGATACGTGTTGAATCCGCTCGTTCTAACCATCAACAGTCCTACAAAAAAATTGCACTGTATTACAACGCTGTCACATACGGAGGATAGTCAATAATTAATAAAATACGATTTTTACATGCGATTGTGTCCAAGTTAATTGAATGAGAAGATTCAGAATATGGTCATGTGTTGAACTGTGCCGATAAAGACGGGCGAATAATTACCGCTTTTGTAATTTCAGTTTTATTTATATATTCATGATTGATGTACTCATTTCTTTTTTGCCAATTTGATTAAATGCTCAAACCCTCCTGATTTCCCGCTATACTGCCATGCTAAGGAGGAACGCCGTATGAACATTCGAGAGTTGCCAAATTCCCCCAGATAAAACATGTCTTTTTAAAGAGAGTTATGCGTTTTTTTGCTTGACATTTTCAGATATTTTAAATTAAATTGCAGACAAAATTGTCTGAAAATAATGGGAAAAAATGCAAAATGTTTCCAGAAAAATTAGGTTTTATTGAGAGAAATATGGCAACGTCTGAAGGTTCATACGGCGCTCTTCCTTAGCACGGTGGTATGGGAACGCATAAGTGCAATGAGTCACACACTTTCGTATCAGAAGCGGCAGACATTGAAGGAGCGCGGCTTTGTCAACAGCGGGCTGATTATTGACATTGATAGACAAAGAAGAAATAGGGGGTATGGAGCGGTCCTATTGATTGAAATGTGTGGCGCTTATAGACTAAAGGAAAAAATGATATGGACTAGCTGTTGGGTTTCTCGTGAGTTGCCGTTAGTTAGTCTATAACCTACTGCCTTTGTCCATTGCAACTAACTACCCGCTTCCACCAATAGGTTCCCTCCGTATCCCTTTTGTCATCTTTGTCAATAGCTTTATCTATCAATTTCAATAATCGGCCCGCAGCTGGGTCTGGATACAACTATTCGTGCTCTCGAGATGTCCGTGTTGCATACACCATGGATTGCAGGCGCTTTGGTTTTCTTCAGCACGCCGTATTGCTGCGGTTGTTAGTTCTCAAGGGCTTTCCATGTTACACTTACAATCTTGTTCAACATAAAATTCTCCTAGCTCGGGTGAGCCGTGCTGCATCAAGGCAGCGTTGCCAAATGGTGCAAATTTTCCACCGTAGGCATTTCCACAGAGGCATGCGTGTCAAAGTCTCAAAATAAATTTCCGCAACAGAGAATTTGCAGGTATTTGGAATTTGATGAATTTCGGGTTTAGGTGGAAACTACTGAGTGAACTGAACACGAGGATACCCTCGGTTCATGAATTGAGCAATTATTGGAGGAGATATGACAAACTGATCTAATCTGCTAGAATACGTGTATTTGAATGGAAAATGCCACCAGATGACGTCGCACTAGGCGGTGCATTTTCTCACTTTTAAATCTACTTTTATGCTATTTCCCATATCAGAAAGAATTATGATAATAACTGTGAAATCACCTCTTTAAGCACTTACAGATGATGCAAGAAAAAATGTGCATGCAAATTCTCCAATGAAGAGTAGGTAACCATTTTGCTTGCTGCCATGGTGTGGTGTTACATCCGAATCGATTTCTAAATTTCAAGGAGATCACGGTGAACACGACGTAGAAACCCCTTGTGAACAAGTACAGCCATACGTTGTGTCTGAGAAAACCAGAACGCCCGAAATTTTTGGTGTATGCAACACGGACGTCCAGGGAAATCGAATTGTTGCATCTAGACCTAGCTATTGAAAAAACTGGAACGCTTTTAATTCTTTCCGCTTATGTGATAACCAAGTCTACCACTCATTGCATTCATACGTCGTCGTTACACTAAGATAGGGCAGTTTGAGTATTTAACCAAATTGAAAAAGAAGAAGAAATAAGGAAATTAATAGTGAATATATGAATAAATTAAGACAATGGAGATGTTGCACGTGTGAGGAATTTGCGATTTGACTGTTGATTCTAAAGTAAAAGTTCGTGCGAAATACGATGTTGCCACTGGTTTTCTCTGAAACCAACTCATGAGCTCAAAAAAGCTCTCAAGTTGAGGCCAAAATGGAGGGGATATCCCACGCTATCCTGAGAGTCCACCGCTACATCAAGACAAACTCTCCGTGCAAAGATAGGGAGCAAATACATTGACAGAGCTGCCACTTTATTTGGGGACTCTAAAACTGAAAACACGGCAACCCTGAAAATGTATTTGCTCCCTATCTTTGCATGGAGAGTTTGTCTTGATGTAGCGGTGGACTCTCAGGATAGCGTGGGATATCCCCTCCATTTTGGCCTCAACTTGAGAGCTTTTTTGAGCTTGGGAGTTGATTTAAGATAAAACCAGTGGCACCATCGTGTTTCTCGCAACTTTTACAAAAGAATCAGTATTCAAATCGCAAATCCCTCACACATGCAGCATCTCCATTCATGCGACAAGTACTTGCTCGACTTTATTGGAAATCACGCACTGGACAGCTTCTTCTTGATTTTCCCATTTAGTTTAGTTACTTGGAAGTATGTAAAAATCGTATCCTATTGTGTACTAAGTGTCGCGTTCTCTTGAAAACTTTGCAACAAATTATCAACTTTTTCCTCCAATTCGACGGATAGGCATTCTCTTAGGGGCCGCCCAAATATTACGTAAGACACTAAGGAGGGGAGGGGTCCGAGCTTGTCTTATGGAGCCTGACGAAGGTGGAGGGGGGTCAAGCCGGGTCTTCCGTAATCTTTCCGCTGTGAAACAAACACCCTTAAAAGCCCCCAATTTCGGTTTTGTTATTGTTAACGCCCCGACAGTTAAATTTCAATTGTTTGATTTTTCTTGCCGATTTTCATCAAAATACCTGTACAAAGCCTAAAATCTAATCCAGCTATTTTACCAGGCTTTCTCCGTTTTTTTCTGAGAAATAGGGAGGGGGGGGGTCCCGGCCAATCTTACGTCATTCAAACGAGGGGTCAGAGATTTCTTACGGGTGCCTTACAGGGTGTAGGGGAGGGTCAAAAAGTTCACAAAGACGACTTACCAACGTAATATTTGAACGGCCCCTTATGCTGTCATGCTAAGGAAAAACGCCGTATGAGCCTCTAGGCGTTGCAAAATTTCCCCTGGCAAATCAATATAATTTTCAGGAAAATTTTTGAATATTTGTCCACCAATTTTTCAGATAATTTTGTTTATAATTTTGTCTACTACTTCTGAAATTTCAATGAAAAGTTTTCATAATTGTCCTCAAAAATAAACATTTTATCGAAGGAAATTCGGCAACTCTCGAACGCTCATACGGGGTTCTTCCTTAGCACGGCAGTATGGGCCACCAGGATAGAGATTTATCCTTGAAAAAGTTTTTTCTCCACCATCTAGAATGGACCACTAGACAAGGTACGAATTTAAGCGATCTGATACATGTTTCTTAACCAGAATTTCACGTAGAAAACGATTCACACAACGAAAATTACGGAAACGAACTCCTAACGAAGAAATTAACGTTTTTATTTCACATTGGTTACGAGGAATTTGAACTGCCCGCTCACAAGAAACTCAAAACTCTACGTGAGTCAAATCGCCCACTACAACGGTTTCAGCAAGCTTCTCAATCGAGCAATGTTCATTTCCCATCATAAGTTGTTCAAACTATTAGCAATTTGCTATAACTGAGCCAAAGCGTCAAGATTGAGGTTGCCAGATTTTTATATCGCAGAGACTGTCATGATAACGTTTAGCGCTCGATGTGAATCACGTAGACCATTGAGTTTTCATGAGCGGGTTGTTTGAATTCACGCATCAAGAATCATTAAATATCTTCGTAAGGAGTTAATTTCGGTAATTTTCGTTGTGTGCATCGTGTTTCACGTAAAATTTTGGTTAAGAAACATGTATCAGAATGCTGAAATTCGTACCTTATCTAGTGGTCCATTCCTAGGAAGGGGGGGGGGGAGTCACCCCCTAGCTTCTTAGTTCCGCCCATGAAACTAATCTAATAATCCATTCTTTCTGTTCATAAAGGCAATGTAGACATACTTCATGTTGACAAATTCGAACAGTTTCTGGATCGATCACCGGACAATAACTACACGTTCGACATCATAACTCAGTTCCGCGTAGATCGGCGCAACCACAGCGTACAGACCAACCCGTATTTCTTCTGGGGACCCTTCTCAGGGCTCTTGGTGAATCCCGGGGCGTTTGCCTTCATGCCCCGGCTGATGGCCAATCACAGCGCAGAACACCCCGAGGGTCACCTCACACGGGAGGTGCTGCTCCAGTTTTTCGCCGTGAAACAGACAGACAACGGCACCTACAATTACACCGAGGGCCACGAGCGGATCCCTGATAATTGGTACTTCAAGCGACGGTTCCACAGACAGCGCGCGACGCTGAGCAGCGCTAGAGCCCTTTTGTAATGGGAGTTAAGACACATGTACTGTCGTGCTAAGGAAAAACGCCGTATGAACATTCGAGAGTTGCCGAATTTCCTTCACTAAAATGTTGATTTTTGAGAGAATTTATGATTATAGTCCCCCGAAATTTTCAGGGACTTTGGGTGAAATTGCGGACAAAATTATCCGTAAAATTGGAAGAAAAATCTTCATAAGTTTACCGGGAAAGTCGTGTTATATCCAGGGCCGGATTAAGGGGATGGTCACATGGGCCGTGGCCCATGGCGGCAAAAATCTGCAATTTTTTAAAGTGTAGGTATAAAAAAAAATCGGATTTATAGAAACAAAATTACAAACGAGAAAAAGCGACAAAAACTCTCATTTCAGCTGAGAGTATAGTAATTTCTAATTTTTTCGTATCTTAGTGATACAAGAGACAGCATCTTCAATAAGTCCAGTTAAGAGAGAGACCAACACGCAATTCGACCTGGAACGGCGCGACTTAGAGAGAAATAATAACGCGGACTTGAGATGAAAAGGAGAAGCCCTCGGCGCGGCGATCGGCATGTGACACATATTCGCGCCTACAAGACTGCACGAATACTTCACGCATTGCATCAAACACAGTGCGGTCAGCGTGAAACGGTTAGCGCCTACAAGACTGCGTGAATACTTCACGCTTTGCGTCCAACACAGTGCGTTCAGCAGCGGTCGGCGGTCGGCAGAACCAGGGACCCAGTATCCCCCTCCCCCTTGTAGCGGGCCTGCCTGTATAGTGTATACCTACCTAATATTTCGGACGGTTTGAGACATCAAAGCTGCCGTGCTACGGAAAATTGCCGTATGGACATTCGAGAGTTGCCAAATTACCTCCAATAAAATGGTCATTTGGAGGAAAGTCATGCATATTTTTCCTTGAAATTTTCAGATGAGTTAGATTAAATTGCGAACAATATTGTCTGAAAAATTGTAAGAAAAATATTCTCAACTTCCATAGTAAATTCGTACTTTATCAAAGGAAATGTAGCAAAGCCTGAAAGTTCATACGGCGTTTTTCCTTAGCACGGCAGGAGGCCCGAGATGTCTAGCAGTACAACCAGGTGCGATGTTTTTGAACCTGTCCGGTTTTTTTTTTCATTATTTAATATGAATTTAACCCAAAAAAAACCGACATTAGACTTAACTAGTTCTTAGACTTGTATCGATTTTTATCTTTATTACATTTACTGAAACCTGTCCGTTGTCACAGACATTGCCTAGGCTTTAGCTGAATTTTAAGAGATGACTTTTTCAAGTTAGTCACGAGCTTAATTTGTGAGATGGGGTTCCTAACCTCTACTAAGTTAGAGCTAACCTTTCCAAAAGAAGAAAAAAAAAAGAAAACTCTTTACCCGGCGCACAACGCTCATAGAGGCGCAATAAAATTTCGCCGTTAAGGTGATTCGATGGACGCCATATTTTGTATCAGAACGACATGCGATATATCGCATCAATTGGTTCCATTTTTTCAGCTACTCGTCATTTTACTCCAATTTTGAGATCGTAATTCTGTTGTCAGGAGACTAAAGCACTCACTTACCAATTTTAACAAAGAAATTCAACTTAATAAAGGCGTGGTTTTTTTAGAGAGAAAACATCGCATTCGATACTGATATTGAAACTGCACTCGAATGCGATATTTTCTCTCTAAAAAAACCAAGCCTTTATTACGTTGAATTTCTTTGTTAAAATTGGTAAGTGAGTGCTTTAGTCTCCTGATAACAAAATTACGATCTCAAAATTGGAGAAAAATGACGAGTAGCTGAAAAAATGGAACCAATTGATGCGATATATCGCATGCCGTTCTGACACAAAATATGGCGTCCATCGAATCACCTTAGGTTAAAGGTACGTATCATTTGAATGGGAAATTGACGAGTTGCGGCTTCGCAGAGGCGGAAATTTTGATCAGTTTGACGTCGATCAGACGTTGCCGTTGGGTGACTGGACGGCCTCTTTCACGTCGAAAGCTGACTATGGAACCGAAGCTTTATTCATCCTTCTTCTTCATTTCCTTGCTTTACTAGTGGATGGAAAAAGTATTGTCAAAAAAGGCTGGTGTAGGTAAGGAGCCGAATCAGGGGAGAAAATATCGTATTTTTTTCACCCAAGTCGAACATAATTCAACCTTCCTTAATTTTGTGAATGCCAAAAAAAACACTAAAAACCATGGGAAGGTCAGGGATTTTTCGAATCCGAGAAAACTTTTCACCCTAAAACCAGCGACGATAAGGTCAATTGGACCGCGTTGAACAGAAAGGAACCAAGCCACATCAGCTATTGCCAAATTCAACGGGGCAATTTAATTTTTTACATGGAAACGGTTGTGCGGATTTTCGTGCAAATTTCAGAGGACTTTCCCCACAGTGCGGAGCGAATTCCGGAAAATTTTCAAAGGAATCCGCACAAACGTTCTCTCGTGGAAAATGAAAAGTCCCTGTTAAATTTGGCAATAGCTGATGTGGCTTGGTTCATTTCTGTTTAACGCGGTCCAATCGGCGATACAGGTCCCGCAATCTGAAGTATTTGACAACGCTGCACTCACGAAAGATAACCGATGATTAATAAAGGACGGGTTTCACATGAACTATTTCGAAGTAAATTCAATGAGAAAATTCAGAAGAAGGTCAAGTGTGTGAGATCGCTGTTCAAGTCAGGGAAAATTGCCGCACGAGCAACCTCCATTTCATTTATTTATTACTGGTAGGTAATTTAAACAAAACAAAAAACAAGTCATATCTGTTAAACGTGATTGTAAATGCAACGTAGGAAACCCTTGAGAGCCAACGATCGCAGCCAGAAGTTTTGTTTATAAGAGAATCAAAGCGCCTGGAATAGATTGTGTATGCAACACGGTCACCCCGAGAACACGAATAGTTGCAGAAGGCCGCGGCGCCTTCAATTTTTCCGCTTGCTTGTGATGATGTGGACGTATTTCTGTCAAACGGAACTAAGTGCATTTAGACTTGAGCCCTGAGACCCATAAGAATGTATGCATAACAGGGATCACGTCATTATGCACATGGTTCCGTTTGATAGAAATAAGTCCATGTGTCAGTGTGTCACTCATTGGATTTGTGCGAAAATAGTTTGTCTTAGCTCGAAAATAGGGCGGTTTGGGTCACTGGAAAAAAAAAAAAAAAAAAAAAAAAAANGGCAATGTAAAGCTTGTAAAAAAAAAAAAAAAAAAAAAAAAAAAAAAAAAAAAAAAAAAAAATAAAAACACATTGGATCTCGAGTCCAGACTCTTGAAAACATTGACAAGAAAAAATACTCTTGATTCAATCAGATTTTTGCTTAAATCAAAAGTAAATCCGCTCAAATTAAGAGGCTTGGTTCTTAATTTAAGGAAAAATCCGATTGAGTCAAGAGTATTTTTTCTTGTCGATGTTTTTAAGAGCCTGGACTCTAGATCCAATGTGTTTTTTTCCAGACTATTCAATCAAATTAAAAACGAAAAAATAGGTACGTATATTGGTCATTAATATACAAATAAAATGGAGACTGTTTATGCTTTGATTACCCGCCTTACTTTTACCAATTACACACTTGACTCTCTTCTGAATCTTTTCATTTAATTTACTTGGAAGTAAATATCGTATCATAATAAGTCTGTACCATCTTGCGTGCTTCGCCGCGCGGCGCGGCGTTGCCAAACAGTGCCATTTTCAGGATAGTCGTCTGAGGACGATCGGAATCACAACTGAAATTGATAATCGCTGTTTACAAGATAACGAATTTTTTATACTTAACAGTTCCCTGACTTTCCGACTGTTCGAACATAAAAAACCCTGACTCTTTCCTGGTTTTTCCGTTTTTTGGGCATGGTTTCAGATTTAAAGTGTCATCACAGATAATTCGGAGAGCGAAGTACCTTAAAAACGAAAAAATGCAAATTTTCGATGGAAGGAAGAAAGTTCCGCAGCAAAATTCCTAGATTTTGTCGTATTTGACATAATTCCTTGAACTAGAAACTAAAAGAGGTCCATTTCAGTTTTGGGTTCGTAACCCTCACAAAAATTTAGAAATTACAACGATTTTTCCCCCGAAAGTGGGAGGACCCAGGCTCTTCCTAGGATCATTCATGGAATTAACTTTTGATAAGGAAGGAGTCTTCCTTATTTCTTCTCTAAAAGTACCTATACCATTGGCGGATCCAGCAAATCGGCAACATTGTTTGTCTTAATTTAAGCCAATAGAAATGTATCTATTTTTGGAGGGGCTAGGTGCTCCGACAAGAATCGATTATTCAGCATAGGTTTAAATGAAGGAAATCCGGTGTTGCCAAATTTCTGGATCCGCCTCTGAAGTATACTACACGTAGTTTCGCCGATAGGCCCCTTCAGGTAAGGTATTTTTTTATCCAGCCGCAGGCAAATTGGACCGCGTTCGGCAAAAAGGAACCAAGCCACGTCAGTTGTTGCCAATTTTACATGGGAAATTTTATTTGTACATGAAAACAGTTAAGCAGATTTTTGTGCCAATTTCAGTCAATTTTCTGCATATCACAAAGGAAATATTCCTTGAAATTTTCCAGGGTTACCACAGAATTTAGAAAATGAAATTCCCCGACATATCCCCGATTTCTCCGTTGCATTTTGATAATTTTCCCTGAAAATAATTGATGATGTGCTGGATGCTTAAAAAGACGTAATTTAAAATGGTTTTCAGGCAAAATTGGTTGGACCCATTGTAGGAGGGAGATAAAGGTGACTTGAAAATTTTTCCCTGACATTTCCCGGTATTCCCTGACTGCGGCAACATTGATTTTCAAAGGCATCTGCGCAAAGGTTCTCCTGTAAAAATTAAACTGTCCAGTTACATTGTGCAATAGCTGATGTGGCTTGGTTCCTTTCTGCTGAACCTGGTCCAGTTAGGTGCTGTCCCATTTTACTCACGCTGAAAAGAAAAGTTACGGGCTATTTAAACATACCGTCCGTTCCAGGCTCAGAGGCCAAACATTTCGGGTGCTGGAGCCGTAGCTGTGATTACTCCGGGTGCTACGCCGGGGGCTTTCGGCCTCTGAACCCGGAACGCGGACAGTATGTCTAAATGGCCCGTAAGTAAGGCAGTGGCGCGGCGTGCTTTTCGATAAATCGATTGATCTGCCATGTAAATCTATGGAAAAGAATCGATGAACAGGGTGTTCATTGTGAACACCTTAATGATCGATTCTTTACCATGCCTTCAAATGGGGGAATATCGAAAATCGATCATTCACGCCACGCCACTGAGGTAAGGGTGTCCTTTATTTTTGAAAGTTGAGAAAAGTTAAGTTCCCCAGGTTTCAAAGCGTGCTATGAGGTGTAAAAATAAGAAATGTTTTTCGTTTAGAACATTCCTTTGGAGTGCTCTCGAGCGCCCTAAAGGGTGCACAACAAAAATTGGTGTTATGGCAAAAATAGTGTCGTTTTTGTATGGAAATCATCAAATTGCGGTCATTTGGGGCAAAAGTGTCGACACTATTAAAACCAAAATACCTATTTTTATATGTGCTCCCTTCAAGGCACTTGAGAGGGCTCTAAAAAAATGTATACATTTTTTTTTTCAAAAAACATTCCTTATTTTTACACCTTGTAGCACATTCTGAGACCTGGGGGAGTTTAACTTGTCTCAACTTTCGGAAATAAGGGACGCTGGGACGCCCTACCATAAATACAGCTTTCACGACTGGAGTATTTCGTCACCTTCCAGGCAAAGTATCACAAGCGCCATGCGACGTTTAAAAATTTCCGCCGCCATTTTATTTCTTTACTGAGAAATTGTTGGTTGAATCTGTTTGGAAATTTCACTAAATTTTATCGGCAGCACGAAGAAAATTCAGTGAAATTTTCGGACAGCTTCGTTGAACAATTTCTCTGTAAAAAAATAATTTTTTTTAAATTTTTAAACGTCGCATGGCGCTTGTGATACTTTGCCTGGAGGTGACGATTTTTTCAGGGCACTAATTTCTACACGGTTCATTCATAGGTACCGACGCCCGCTGGGATTCGAATACGGGCAGGTTCCCTTCCTGCTGGATATTCTGGCAATGGCCGCGAAACACCCCGAGTTCCTCTCAGTTGGTGGTAACACTGGCGAAGTCGATTCCTTCGCAGGCTTGGACTTCACTGACTTGACCGGCGGCGTGCTGAACTTCCAGGACTTGACCAAAGGGGATAACTTCGCTTGCTTCGTTTTCCAGCTTTTGAAGATGACGCCAAAATTCACGGAGCAAACGATCGCCGCAATTTTGGATATCATCAATGCGGGCCTTGGAGCACTCCCCAACTCGACGCTTAGAATCGATTGCTCGCAGCTGCCGGGGTTCGATTCGAAGATGGCCAGAAGTTACTTTAGGGGCTTTCCTGGTTCAGAGGGAGTGGGACTTAAACCCAGGAAGCAATAGGTGTTTAATAGGCTTTAAAAAATTGAATTTAAAAAGAGAGCTCTCTCAAAAAAGAAAAAGAAAAAAAAATTATACATTAACATTAAGAAAAGGAAACCTCTGGTTTGATACCTTCTCAGGCAACATTTCCGAGAGGTAAAATTTAAGTGATGAAGTATCAATAAAATTACCGTAACAACGAACTTATGCTTAAAAACCTGTTGTTAAAACTTAATTTTAATTTAGGGACTTCTAAATCATTTTTTATAACCCTTTTTATTGAGTTATTCTATTGACTTAATTTAAATGTAATCCACTTCACTTTTTAAACAATTATGTGTTGACTTGATTTTAAGAGTTTAAACAAAACTCATCAGACCCATTATTCTCGCTATTTGACTAAGACTCAATTTGCGTGGAACCATCTCGACGGGGAAAGTACGCGATCACATACCTCGTTTGCGGTGTGTGAAAATCTCCGCCTCTATGTTGTTCTTTTAAAGGAGAACAAATTGGCATCATTCCTTGAAGTTTTTGCAGATTTTCTTCGCACAGAGAAGAAAAATCACGGCACTTTTAAAGAAGTGCCGTTGAGTAGTTTTCCGTTTAAAAAATAAAGTATGACAGGAAGTCTGCGACGTCGCAAACCATGTTATGTGATTGCCGGCTTACACAGACGATACTTATTTTCGATTTTTCTTCAGACAGGGTGTTCCAAAGGTCCTGCATCGCCAGCACTGGTTATCACCCCTGTAACCTTTGAGCAAATTGAGATAGAGACTAAAAAGTTTTGGAGTGCTACCAGGCCCAAAGAAACAAGTTTTGGGGACCTTAAATTTCGGGAGGACTAAGTACCCTGAAAGGTGCAAGAACCCCACGGTTTAAAAAGGTGGTGCGGGACATTTGAATCACTCTGTATATTATATCTGATGATGCACCTCTGTCAGTAAAAATTTATGGTCTATGAAATATTGAATGGTTTTTCGCAATCTTGGACAAAAATTAAGCAATCGGTGATCAAATGTTCTTAATAGGACCCTAATAGTGGCTATTGTGACAGCATTAAGGCCTCGATAGAGATCAAATGGATTACATTTTGTACTTCGGAACTACAACTTCTGGTTCAGTTTAGAAACAACGCGTGTACCATTGGTCTCCCTATGCACGTAAGTTTTTTTTACAGATGAGCTACAAATTAAAGCTACTATTTCGAAAATGAAGTCCGAATTTCAAACCGGTTCCGATCCAAGCCATTGATGAACCATTTGATGACTGCTGGTCACCAACATTCTTCTTTGATCAAATTGAACGGCTCGTCCAACTTTGATTAAAACTGAGTGTCGAGATTCGTCAATTCTGGCCGCATGGAACATTTCTGCCAAATTCATTTGGAAATAAAGCGAAGTAAAAATTTTAGGACAGATGTCTCCCGACAATTAGTTCCGATATTTGATACCTCTATCGAGACCTATTTCTTGGAACATTCTATATCGTGCATTCTGATGCATGATTAGTCATCAGAATTTCGCAAGGAGACTGTTCAAGTGTTCAAGCAAGAATTCTATTTCTTGGCTTAACTTTATTGCGAAGTATAGCCGCAATTCAACTTGGAGTGCAAACTGGGAATACGTTTGGTCTAGACATACGTATTCCTTACAAAAATGTAAGTTTTGCTCTCTATCATCATTACCACATATTACCCTATTTAAGGGCTTAAATGGATTCATCTTCTGGTGGATTCTTTTAGGCTTGAGTACCTATATTCCTATTTTTTTCTTTATTCCAAAACATATTCTTCAAATTTAAGAAAGGAGGTAAAATCATGCTGAAAAAAACAACGAAAAATTGACAAATCATTATTAGTGTATTTAAGCGTATGAATTTATAATGAACAACTATTTGTGGAAAATTCTGCACATTACGGCAACAAAACCAGAGTAAAATGGATGAACATCACAAGTGTTTAAAACACGCCTGCATATTTACAAATCTTTTATCACATATACATTCCACAACAAAAAATTTTCAAAAATTATCCGTACATACAAAATTAATCTTCAGAGAAACATGTTTTGTGAGTGGATCAGACAATACTACAAGAACTTTTACAATAAAGTATTTTGAATTTACTATTGGAAGTACACAGTCCGAATAAATAGGTATCATACTCGTCAGGATACCGCTTACGTACATCAAAACAATTTGATTCTGGTGATTTAGAGATCATGTCTAAAAATTTGGGAAGAAAGTATCAAAAACTCGGGACAGTCTTTACAGGCAGAGCTGGCATTAGTGTTAATGGAATCGGCAGGAGTATGTCTAACCAAAATAAAGGTACAAAGAGCATCTCTAAATTTTTCAGCTCAAGCCTCAATGACACTACGGGTCAGTTGCCCTGGTCACAGAATCGTGTTCTGATGCTTGATTCTTGTTGGTCGGCTAATAAGAATGGGATATGTTTTAACAGCAACTTTCTACGTTCGGTATTAACCGAGAAAGCGCGCTTTGAAACATATGATTTACGACATCATTCAGCGCGGTGGTGACATCCTTGGTTTCTTCCACTCTGCTTACATCAGTCAGGGAAACTCACATTTGCTCTGGTTACTCAACGTTTCACTTGGATGAAAACCAGGTCGAAGAAACTAAGGGCGTCACTACCGCGTTGGATGACGTCACGAACCGAATTTTTCAAAGCGCGATACCTCGGTTAATATTGAAGGTAGAAATTTGCTGCTTGGACGGATCTTATTCTTTTAAGCTGATCGACAGGGATCAAACGACAAAATACGATTCTTCGACCATCGCAATTGACCCACTGGTGTATATGTATGATAATTTTACACAAGGAAGGTACCTATAGATTAAATTCTCCTTCACATAGAGAAAAATAAAAATTGTTTATAGAAAATGTACGTTTATGCGAAAGGTTTTTCCAGAGAAACGTTGATTTTAACACTGGGAAGGTCAATTGGACCGCGTTAAACAGAAAGGAACCAAGCCACATCAGCTATTGCCAAATTTAATCAGGCAATTCAATTTTTTCCATAAAAACGGTTGTGCGGATTTTAGTGCAAATTTCAGTGAATTTTCTCCATAGTACGAGGCAGATTCCTAAAAATTTTCAAAGGAATCCGCACAAACATTCTCTCGTAAAAAATTAAATTGTCCCCTTAAATTTTGCAATAGCTGATGTGGCTTGGTTCCTCTCTGTTAAACGCGGTCCAATTTTAGCTCCCTTTTATACTTAAGAAGCAAAATCAAAAATAGTTTGTAAAAGATGTACGTTTCTGTAAAGAAAAATTAGTAACAAATCATTAATTTACGCAAGATGGTAGATTTTGGTTACTTTTTTAATTGAGAAGAAGTAGAACTAGTTTGTGACATCATGTAAGAACAGATTAGTAATAATATGAGACGTTAATTTACGCAGGATGAAGGTAAATTTGAGTAGTAACTGACCCACTCAAAGGCGCAAAACCACTGACACCAAGATGATTAAACAAAATCAAACGGGGATGACAATGTAAGGAAAGTGACATCCGCTCCTTTCAAACGTAGACGGAATTTTGCGTTCAAATACTGCAAGCTTTACTTTCATTGGGATTTTCACAAGTTCAAGAGAGGGGTTACCTATCAGGACCAGGGGTGCAGAATCTTCCAAGCTTCCGCATATTTTTACGCGTCCGCCAGCTGGCTTTCCACACTTTTCTCATCGGATTTCCTCAAAGTTTCCCACCAATCTAAAAAATATGACTATTTCTCCTGTTTCCCTTTGATTTTCAACTTTTGGCCCCTAAAATGTTCCCTCCCTCCACATTTTCACGCGTATGGAGATAGATTACCTGCTTCCTTGATTTCAAATGCCTTCCACTATTGTTTGAAAACTGTTGGACAACCTCCCAGACGACGTTACGTTATAACCAAACGCCCCGGCCAGGAAGATCATTATTCATCAAGACATTTATCTTCAAATGATGTCTTTTATGGCGTTAATGCTCTTTTGGGAGAAACACTAGCTATGCTGTATCACAGAGGAAGATCATTTGCTTTGGATCAGTACGCCTCACGTTCCAACTAAATTGCGGTCCAGAGATTTACCGGACACTGGCACGAGCAGATAGAGGCGTTTCTTAGGAAACTAGCCCCGCTTCAGATATACGGTTATTGTTGATGCGCCGCAAAACAATTTTGTTTCAACAGTTTACAGTTCCGTATCGTAGCTAACCTAAGCTTACCCAACATGGTGGTTTTGTGTAAATTGTGCACTGAGTTAGGCACTATGACGGAAAATTGGAGTCCCGCGTGTGAGGGGCGCCGTGCAGGTCTCGCGCCTGGAAAATCGTCCGGACTCGCTACTTTTCGTGACGCAGCGTGCCGCATCCGACGGACTCTTGCGAGGTGACATCACTAGACAAGGCCGTTGTCAGATAGCCCGAGGAATCTTTCAATTTCGTACATCCTAGCCTCGGGAGTCGAACGGCCGAAATCCAAAGAACGGCGACAGAGCCTGCACTTTCCTGGATTTCGATATTTTGATGCCACCACGACGGATGCGACATGCTGAACTCAGGCAGGAGGTTTCTGGCGAGCGAACCGTGGGAAATGACGCCAAGTTCGCAGGCCTGAGGACCCTCGGAGAACCCGCTGAATCCTCCTGAAGTCGGTCGTTTTGCCTCCTTTGCCAGTGATCTGTGTGATAGTTGTAAGTTGTTGTAACCCGTGTGGGAGTTATTATTATTTGCTATATTTTAACCACTCAATACATCAAGTGGCCACCTCCTAGCTCTGGAGATATCTTTCCCTTAGGATACTACTCTGAGGTAGGTGACCGCTTGGTGCGAGGTTTTCGCTTGCGTAGAGGTTACGTGATCAAAGAAGTGGCCGCGGTGGGATGTGACGGTTCTACTATTCACACGTGGGTGTTTCGACCACCGCAGCCATGGACGAGTCTAACTGATGAAGATAAATCATCGGTCAGACGAAGTGAAATCGGTCTCGTTCGGAACGATGGAACGCTTCCCCATTCATCGGTGGAGAGAGTCTTCAAGATATTGGCTCGACAGTATACAGTGTAGGTTGTCGGATCGCAGACCACCAGAGATTTATTTTTACCCCTTCGACGAGTCATCTTTTAATTACAACCTGTTTCAGCTAGGCTAATATGAATAACGCCCCGGAGACTCTCTTATGCACTACCATCATCTCGTTAGACCC